TGTTTTTAATTCTCTGAGACTTCTTTAAGGCTTGTCATCACCTAATTTGGGGTAAAGACAGGTTGGTTGATTGGCCCACAACCATTGTGAAACATGCTCTGATCTGGCCTTGAACCTGCTGAGCCAGTCCACCAGCAGGGGCCTACTGGCAGAGAAAAGGTCTACGAAGCTGCCAGGAGAGGAGGGGGAGGAAGAAGCTGCCATCTTGGAAGTTTGCCATCCTTTTCACCTAGTCATGGGCCTCCGGCTCTCCAGTTGACTGACTTTTGGGGGTTTGCGGGGTGGAACTCGGTGCCCTGCTGACCTGGGCCTCCGGCACCTGCAGTTGAGTTTTGACCATACAGATAAAGGCGGTGCAGTGGAAGCCAGGGCAACAGCATGGACAGGATGGGGGCGAGGTGGGGTGGGGATTAACCTCACAGCAGTCTCCACTCATCTTGCTAGTGCTGGTCTTCTTCTCGCCTGAGTCCCTGGGGTTGTGTCCTTTCTGTTAAAACATGTGAGAATTCACCCTCACAAGTCAATATTCTCCACTTCCTTCACCCATTCCTCCCAGCACCCACACGGTGGCTTAGGGCACTCTATGATCCCAATTCCAAAGGATGTGATGCCCTCTTGTGGCCTCTACAGACACCAGGCGTGTGTGTGGTGCACAGACATACAAGCCTGCAAAACACCCATACACATGAGAAAAAAAAAAAAAAGACAGTTCCCCACAGTGGCACAGCCTGCCACTCCTTCATTGAGACTCCGCCCCTATGATTCTAGGTTGTGCTAAGTTGATAATTAAAACTAACACCTACTCCTCCTACTCCTCCCAGTGACTCAGCACCTCTCCTATCCCAACAAGGAAGGCAAAGCCTTCCCCTACTGCCGGAGTCCTGTGTGTTGTATTCTTCCCCTGGGCTGAGGACTAGGTCTCTTATTTCTAGAGCATGGCCTAGAGTGTGCTCTGGGCATGTTTGTAGTGATTCTCCTAATCCTCCTGCCAGAGATCCTAAGCCCACAGCCACACTGTTCCTGCCCTGCTTGTCTCCCAGCAGATAGGGGACGCTTACACACACAGAATCCTTCCCAGTTCGAATCCTTCTCTCTGAAAGTGAAATGGTTAGAATATTCTTCCCAGAGCCCCTCCCAAGTGAAAAGCCAGTTCCCGCTCCTACTGCGGAGAACAAGGAAGAGTTGTGCCTGCTTTCAGAGCGGGAAGGCAGCATGCACTCACTGGTGGGCACCTGCCAGTGCTTACTGAGCAGCTAGAGCACACTGCCACTTTGGAATGGGTCCCAGAGCAGATTCAGGTTGCAGTTTAGGATGCTCTGCCAGTAGAGCTTCACCTCGTGACCCCACAGAGCCAATGGTGTTTTGAGTTGTCTCAGAGGTAAGCATGCACTGTGAAGATCCCAGAAGACCTGAATAGGAAAATGCCCATGTCCCACCATCCTTTTGGCGCAAGGTCACGACTTTCTCTGCAGGTAAGAATATCTTTTTGAGAAGTAGCTTCTGGCAGGCCACTGGGCCCTGGAAGGGACTGCACACCTGTCCATGAGGTGACGAGTAACTGCAACCCAAGCTGGTGGTCAGCTGTTCTCAATCTAGGCCCCCTCACAGGCAACGCTGCACCGGCAAGAGAAAGTGAGATGACATCAAAAGCGACATCTGTTTTACAGCGTGGCTGCCTCTGCTTCGTCCTGAGTTCTCATGGTGGAGTCATTCCTTGTGGCCAGCTGATGGAGGAAGAAGGACTCTGGCCTGACACCAAGTGGAAGTAGGTGGTTACAGCTCCAAAGATATCCGTGGCAGGCTTTGTAGGGAGCAGATGCTTCTAGAAGGGGGAATTCTAAGTACTACTCAGAAGGTGGTCCATTTTACCAAGATGGAGACAGAGGTCCGGAAATGTGGCCCCATACCTATGCATGGAATTGGTGGTTTGCCTGGATGGATGCTCAGGAAAATGTAAGAGGAAGACTGGAAGGCTGGAAACAAGTGTACTTGTGGGAGGGAACATGTGGATGGCCTTTTAACAATAAACACAGGGTGGGAAGATGACCTGGTCCAGCAGAGGAGACCACTGTCTGTGACTATTGGACATAATGCTCTGTTTTGGAGATGTGAGGCATTCCCCTCACACTTCCCCTAGCCACTCTTGTGCTCAGTCAATTGCTCAGCCACAGCCCCTCCATGGCTCTGAGCTACAGGCTGTACATAGACATTGCATGGCCTTCCTCTCATAAAAACTGACTTAAAGTTCCCGATGTGGCCTCATTCACCACAGAAACCTGCCATCCAGATGGCAGACGGGCTAAGTTGCGTGTCTCTGTTATGGAGGGGACAGTGCTTTTAGGTGCTTACTCTCCAGGTGGGTCTGCCTTCCCTGACCATTGCAGCATGGACTCGTGAGTGCTCTGTTTCCATCATTAAAGATTTGATGATATAGCAAAAGAAATGTGACTGTAGTTAGACCCACACGGTGTGCTGCTATGCCATGTGTTTGTTCTCTTAGCCAGAAGCTGGAGTTACAGGATACGGAAGTGGACTGCTGAAACCTGTGTTTCAGGGTATCTGGGGGACACCAGACATCCTGAGATACAGGATGCGGCCAATCCTGTGTGTGTGTGCCCCTGCAGCGGGACAGTGGGAAACCCTGAGTGCCAGGGGGGAAGTGAGTCTGTACCCAAATCACAAAACTGTTGCTTCCTGTGATGGTTCCTCTTCATTGTCTATTTGACTGGATTTAGAATCACCTAGGAGACACACCTCTGGGCCTGTCTGTGGTTTGTGGTTGTGTTTTCAAAATGTGAAACTAAGAAGACTCGCCCTGAGTGTGTGTGTGCATGTGTGTGTGAGAGAGAGAGAGACAGAGAGAGAGAGAGACAGAGAGAGAGTCTGTGTATGTGTGTTACAATTTGCAGACGGAATAGGAGGAAGCTGGCAATAGTTACACTTTCATCTAACTTATACACTGCAGTACATGAAGGAGGACTGAGCGCTGGAACTAAAGGAGGTGTGAGTAGAATCCAGCCTCCCGCCTCCCCCAGAAACAAGACTGCTGAAGGGCACTGAGAGTCTCATTTTGGAGAAAAGAGCAGCATGTCCTCGTTGATCATGTGTGTAGCCCACTGGGATCCATGTGTTACTGTTCACAAGTAGAACTTTCATTAGTACTGAGAAGGGTCTCCAAGGGTGTCTAGACAGACCAGTAGAGTAGAAAATGCCCGGTAGTTTCTGTGCCTACAGATTCCACCCTTGCCCTGTCTTGGCCATGGCTATTTTTATGTGTATGAATGTTTTGCATACCTAGTGCTGCGGATGTCAGAAGACGGTGTCCAATCCCTGCAGGAGGAGTCACCATGTGGTGCTGGGAATTGAACGTGGGTCCTCTGTAAGAAGGACAAGTACTCTAAACTTCAAGCTGTCTCTCCAGATTTTTGAGACAAGGTCTCAGGAAGCCCAGGCTGGCCTCAGACTCATTACCTAAGTGAAGGTGACCTTGAACTTGATCCTCCTGTCTCTACATCCCAAGTGCTAGATGATAAGTGTACACCACCAGGCCCAGTTCATGCAGTACTGGGGAATCAAACCCAGGGCAGCTTTATATGTACCAGGTAAGCGGACCGCCACATCTCCAGCCCTATTTGTTTTTCTTGTAACCTTTCTGAAAACATTTTAATTCTTATACTTTAATTTTTGCAAAATAAACAAAACTATGTTCTCTCTAGAACAAATTATACTCTCAGTCTGAGCGTTCTAATGTGTTTCTCCCACTTAGAAGTTAGTGTGGCAACATGTGCCCTGGTCACCCCTTAAGAGGACTGTAAACCAATGATGCAGACATACTCTATAAACTGTGAAGTCTGTGCCCGAATGAAGTGGACGTGAGACAACATCAGCAGCTTTTGACTGCATGTGAGACTATACTCTGTCCTTCCTCGGGGTCACAAGTGCTGGGACAACAGACAATTCCCACCTTGCTCTCCCGAAGAACTGGATCCAAAAATCTCAAACCTCCCCCGGGAACTCCCCCACTCCAATGAGAGCTGGGCAGACCACACGGTTTACAAATGAAAAGCAATTGCTCCTCCTGGATGCTTTATTAGGGGGCTCTAAGCATGAGTGGCAGTGACACCCAGACCCTTTCCCAACATGCAAAAGGCACAGGAAAGTGAGCGCGGATGGAGCGGCAGTGTGGAGGAAGACCCCCACTGCATGCAGTATGGAGAGTCTCTGGGGAAAGAATGGAAAGGTGAGGTGTTGAGGGATGCACCCCTGCTCTTGAGCAGAGACTGACCTCCCCGAGGGAAGGCCAACATGGCTTTGGCTGAAAAGTCCCACCTTGAAGGGTGGGAACTCCATTCAAGGTAGGAGTGGCTGATGGCTGCCGCCGCACCAGCTGGCCAATGAGGAAGGGGGTGAAGGGTGTGCCCATGGAGTTAGTTGGTCCCAGCCATGGATGGGTTTGGGGATGCCACTGCTTGGCTTGAGCCAGTGCTGTTGCACTCAGTCCTTGTCCAGGAGGAGAATGAGACCCCTTTGATCTTCAGAGGCCTCCCACAGGGACTCTGGCTCTCCAGTCCCAGACAGAGGTACTGGTTAGATGAGTTGAGTCTCTGTTGGCTTTGTCCTATAGAAGAGTCCCCTGCCAAGAGGGAAGGGGAGGCTGGGCTCAGGCTCTCTGAGTCCCCAGCACCTCCCAGAACTTGGGCCCTGCTGGGCAGAATGTCCTGGGACTCACCTCAGATCCTAACCAGTCCCACAGTAACGTCTTGAGACCTTGAATCAGAAGCAAAGGCATTCAGGTTTCTTTTCTCTTGCTTGCTCTCTCCTCTGGTAGAGCCGTGGCCTCGAATCACGGCGTTGGCAATGTCTACTTCTAAACTATGAAATGTTGTCACATTGACAATAGAATTACTAGGGAGAAGGGGCAGGAAGTTCTGTCCAGTGCTCATGGGACAGTGAGTTACGGAGAGGGAGTTGGGAAGCACACAGCACAGAGACACCACCAGTCACACACCAGGCCCCAGCCAAGCTCTAGATGTATTTTTTCTTGAGGTACCAGTAGGCAAAGTAGCCCATCCCACCCAAGGAGCCCATGAGGAAGGATGCCCCAAAGAATGAGGGCGGCTTCCGCTTGACTAGTCGGAATGCATTGGGGATGACAGCTGACAGCAGTGTGGTGTGGATGTCGCCCAGGACTTTCCGGAAGGCAAAGCGTTTCTGGACCCTCTCAAAGAAGGACTGCAGGTTGGGGCGGCTGCCATCCTCCCAGTATTTCTTGGACAGTCCCAGGAACTTGAGGCGGTGCAGGGTGGCTCCCAGGAGGACGTCCGCCAGGGTGAAGGCACAACCACAGAGCCACAGCTCACATTTCTGCCCTAGAGAGGGAGAAGACACCTGGCACTCAAGCCCTGGCTGTGATCTGCTTGCCGGTGTCTCCTGAGGCCGTTCCCTCCAGAACCTCTTTAGCAGCTGCGGCCACATCCTTACCTATGCTACCTTCACTCTCCCTTTAAGTTAACTGACTTGTAAATCGCAAGATCTACCTTATTTTCCTTTCTTCTTCCTCCTCTTTTTTTTTTTTTTTTTTTTTTTTTTTTTTTGAGACAAGGTTTTATGTAGCCCAGGCTGGCCTCTAATTTACTATGTAGTGAAGATAACCTTAAACTCCTCATCCTCCTATGCTGTGATGTAGTTTGTGTTAGGATTGCAGGCTTATAATACTACTATTCCAAATTTGTGCAGTGCTGGGTCGGGGGGTGTCAAACCTCGAACTTCATGCAAGCCAGACAAGCAGGCTACCAGCTGAATCACATTCCCTAGCCCCTTCTCTTTCTTTTCCTCTTCCTTTTTCTCTTCTTTTTAATTTTGGAAACAAGACCTATAGCCAAAACTCATCTTTAGCTTGTGATCCCCTGCTGAAACTTGCAGAGTGCTGGGATTACAGGCTGCATCACCCTGGCCCACCCGGACCTGTAGATTTACATACCAGCTGCTGGTTGATTGCGCCACCTAGTGGCACTCCACATTCCAACTTAAACATGTCCAACAGGGAATTGGGGATTGTTGCTCCCAAGTCCACCACCGGTGCCCCATTGCCACAGTGTCTCTCTATCCTTCTATTCAGTGCCAGGGCCTCGGCGCCACCACAAACTCTTCCATCGCCCCCGTATTTGGTGTGCCATGGCATCTTATTAGCTTTGTCTTCAGAATACATCCAGACTCTAGTGTCTGTTTTCCACCATCCCAGCCGGAACAACCACTCTCTCCTACCCACACGATCACGGCAGTTTTTAATTTGTTCCCCTCACCTCAGCTTCTGCCCCCTAAAGTCTACCTTTAGCACAGAGCCAGAGGGATGCTGTTAAGATCTAGGTGGGAACCTGTCAAAACTGATGCCTCATGGTCCTACCTGTGTAGCCTGCCCAGCCCTTCCTTCCTTTCAGGCCTCAGATTCTGCTTCCCGCCTTGACTCGTTTACCCACCACACCAGTCTTGCAGATCCTCATGCCAAGCCCGTTCTTACCTCAGGGCCTATGCCTCAGCTGTCTCCTCTGCCTACAGTAGTGTTCTTCTATAGAAGTGATGGCTCAATTTATCTCCTCCATAGGCCTTGGCTGTCTTTTCAGGGGGCTTCATAGACTATCAATTTAAAACTGAAGGGCTGAGGGCATAGTTCAGTTAGAAGCATGCACTTGCTCCTAGGTTTGAGCCCCTGCACTGAATAAACTGGACACGGTAGAACGCACTGCAATCCCAGCCTTGGAGAGATGGGAGCAGGAACATCAGAAGTTTGAGGTCATTCTTTGCTGCCAAGTGAGTTCAGAATGAACTCGGGCTACTGGCTAATGGAGCAGAGTGGTGAGGAGGGGACACCAGGCGAGGGTTGCTGCAAAGGTGTGGGTTAGGAGTAAAGTGTCAGAGACCTCCTATGCAGCTGGAGGCACCCTAAGACATCCCCTCGCAGGGCCAGGTGAGCCCGTGGGTGCTGATAGCCACCACACCATTCTTTCATGCTAGGGAATAACACATGCCAGGTGCTGCCCACCCTAAGTACTCGGAATGACTCTCACCTCACAGTGTCCCAGCGATTCTGTCATTCTCCCACTTTGTGTATGGGGAATTGAGGCCCCGATACAGGGAGAGACGTGTCAAGGTCGCTGCTCCAGCCCTAGAACCTTGGTCTGTCTGACCCTGATCCTAACTGACTGGAAGGGCTCTGGAATCTTTGGGAGAAAGAGGCTGGGGCTTGTCAGAGTGGGGGAGAGATGCAGGTGGGCGAACTTTTTACCACGGGTATGCCACCCACCCTCATTCTCGAGTTTCCTCTTCTCCAGCTCTGCCTCAATCTGGTCCAGCACCATAGCCAGCTCCCCAAGGATCTTCTTCAGGTAGCTCACATCATCGTGCTCCAGGATCTTGGCCTACAGGCAGGACAGGCAGCTGCTCAAGCATGAGCTGGTCTCACGGGAGCCATGATATCCAGAGATGGGTGGAGTACTGCCTACTGCCGCCTGCGCAAGCCTGACTTCAAATGCCCACTGTTACAGTGCACCCTCCCCCAGGACTGACACCAGCCCAGTCACCTTGGCCATCTTGCCCACATTCCCTGGCACAAGGCTGAAGCAATGCTGTGTGCTAGGCGTACAGACATTCTTTCCCCAGAGAATGGCTCTCTGTCATTAGAAGCACATAGAAGATGATTTTCCAGGCTGTCTGTAGTCAATGGCTACTGATATGGGGCATTAAAGCATGGCCAGCTCTAGGGTGCCTTTTACATTCTAGAGCTTTCTGTGAGGTCAGATGGAGCTCAGCCACATCCTCTTCCCTCCCATATTCCTGGAGCACTCTATCCATACTGTCTGGTGCAAGAACCTGTGTTCAGGTCTCTGCTTGCAGAGACAACATAAACCAGAGGCTGGGGGCGGGGCTGCAGGGGGAGCAGTGGCTTTCCATGGCCAAACAGCCATGGTATGGTAGAGGACACATGACTGCAGGATCAAACCACTGCATTTTCCAGGTCAAAGCAGCTGCCGATCCTCCATTTAGAGCTTTCTTCTAGTAGGAGGGAGGGGGCACAGGTAGAATGCTCACCATAGCTGTCCCTGTCTGTGGGAGGAGGGGATATAGGTAGGCACTCACCATAAGTTTCTTCTGTTTGGAAAGGTAGGGCTCAGAGAGCTGTGGTTCCTCCTCGTGGTCCAGTTTCATGAGGTCTGTGGTGGCATTGGCCAAATGTCCTGGAACAGAACAGGAAAGGTCCTGTCTCCTTGCTCCCCTACATGACCAGGAGAGGCCACCTACCTGGGGCACAAGGGATCAGTAAACCTTGCTAAAGAGGACACTGTAGCCTTGAGGAGGAGGAGGAGCTGATGCTGGAAATGTGTAGACTCTGAATCCCAGATCTGTTCACCTCTCCAATATCCCTTCCCCCGAATGAAGCAGCCCAGCCTGGGCGTGTCCTCGGAGCCCCTCACCCCCAATCAGGCCCTGTGGGCTCTTCCCCCAGCACTGCCACATTTACACGGCTCCTCCAGACCTGCTCTGCTCAGCACACACCTGTAGTCTCTTGCTTGGGTGAGTTAAACAGGGTTTCCTATGTATCCCTAGCTGGCCCAGAACTTGTTGTATAGGCCAGGCCGGCCTCAAACTTGTGGTCCTCCTGCCTCTGCCTCCTAAGTGTTGGCCTAGAGGTTTGCACCACCCCACCTTCTCACTCTCACGCCACCTCTTCCAAAGGCCTCTGTGCCAGCCCACGTCCCAGCCCTCAGCTCGCCTTCAGGAACCATGGGATCCACCTCTCTCAGCTGCCCTATCTCTTGCTGAGTGGCCCCCATAACCCTGTATCCTCAGGGTACATTTCAGACACTCAAATGATTTCCCAGGTATCAAACCACTTCAAGCCTTCTGGCCCTCATTCTCATTCCCTGGAATAGCCATGTCGTCTATTATTATTTTTTTTTAAGATTTATTTATTTTTATATGTATGAGTGTTTTGCCTGAATGTATGTATGTCTGTGTATGTATGTCCTGGAGAGGGCATTAGAGCCCCTGGAACTGGAGTTACAGTTTTAGCTGCCCTGTGGTTCTCAGAACAGAACCTGGGTCCTTTGCAAAAGCAGCGCGTTCTGTTCCTCCCCCCCGCCGAGCCATCTCTGCAGCCCCCATACCCTCTACTCTTGAAAGCCTCTTTCCCGGTCTAGCTGAATGTCCCTCTGTGAAGTGCCCCCTTATCTTCCAGGTCTGACCTCAGGGCTTTTGTTCCAGAGTGTTCTGCAGAACTCTGCCAGGAGGTGCAAGCCTACCAGTCACCAACTGGGGCTGCCACAGGACAACACCACTCCTGTGGCCTCCATGAAAAGCAGCCCTTGCACAGCCTGCGTTGTTTGCCAGATGTGGTAGTTTGATGTTGGTGTGCTCATCTGTCTCATTGCCTCTGAGCTCATGCTCATCTGTAGCCCGATGAGAACCATCTCTGGTCCCGGAAAGCCCAGCACAGGCCTGGCCCAGAGCAGGACTCAGTGAGTGCTGAAGAAGGGAAGGGATGGGCAAGAGTGTGAGAAAGCTACAGCCACCAGGTATCTGTCCTCTGAGGCCATCTACCTCCCACCATGGCCTGACACAGTTCCGTGAGCACTGCGAGCTCTTCCAGCCCTAGGCTATATTAACTCTCACTGATGTTTTCCGAATGTGCAGGTCAAGTCAGTCTCTCTCCAGGGCTGCCCTTGTACCTGTCTTTAGACTACGGGGAAGACCTCGGGACACTGTCTTAGTCACGGCAGGCTGACTTTGCTCCTCAGCACCTTGTGAGGTTTGCCTTTCCCCCTTCCCTGTGGAGTCCTAAAATTATCTCTGCTTCCTCAAAGGGGTGAAAAGTGGGTCCCCTCTGGATCCCACTGCCTTCCAGGTCCCATGAGATGGCTCAGGACAAGATGAGGGCAGTGCCCACAGGTCACCAGGCCACGTTGCCACTCACTTAAAGATAGCCAGGGCCTCACGCTTCCTCTCTCAGGGACTCTGTCTCTGGGAAATAGAGTTGCTCATATCAAGGCCCATAGCAGGTTCTCCATAAAGTGCCCCCTCCCCCAAGCCTGCTCCTCGGAGTCACTGGCGATCCTGCCGCTGGCCCACGCTCCGCTCTGCCCTACCGTACTTCCCTTTGGCTTTCCACATGCTGCACCTGTCCTACCCCACAACCTGACATCTTCCTCCTCCTTTTACAAATGTTACTACTTGCCACAATTCCAGGATGTAGAACCAACATCTTCTGTGTCCCTGGAACCTCTGTGTTGTCCTGATCTTGATGTTGGACTATATTTAAAAACTTTCTAACTAGTTGATTTGGCACAGGCTATACATACAGATTAAAAACTCAGGCAAAGGTAAAAGATGTGCAGTAAAAATAAGTCTCTCTAATCAGCTGTGGTGATGAACACCTCTGTAAACCCGGCACTAGGTGGTAGGAGGATCAGAAGTTCAAGGACTTCCTCAGCTACGTAAGTTCGAGACCAGATTGGGCTACATGAAACTGTCTCAAAAACTCCCAAACAAAAACCAAACCATAATTACCTCTCTATCTCCAGACTCTCAGCTCTGCTCCCTGGAGACTAGCACTACTGCAGTTTCTTGTACACTTTCCAGAAATATCCCCTGCCCCAAGAGCCCAGGGGCATTAGTACTTGCTAGAGCAGATGGCACGCTACCACTTAGCCCTCCCCACTTTGCCACTCTTTAGCATATCTCTGAGAACATCCCATGTGCCGACTATTTTTCAGTATAACAGCACCATAATGAATTTACTCCATCTCCAACTTGCAGACACCAGGGTTGCTTCCAGTGATGCCTCTCTCTATGCTGTGGTGAGAAATTTGTATACACTTCTTGGTGCACGAGTTCAAGTGTTACCTTGGGATAATCTTCTAGGCATGAGCCTTTTTGGCATTTGGTACAGAGTGCCCACCCCGCCACACTCCAACCCTGACTGTCCAAGTCTCCTTAGCTTGCACTGTCATTACCTGAGCTTGCACTGTCATTACCTGACCTTGTCTGTGCTTCCAGAACAGTGACCCTGTGGTGGCAGAAGCTGTGTTCATCTTCGTCTATTGGCAGCCTCACCCGGGTCCCCACTGACATTGATGAATGAATGGGAGCAACCAACTGTATAGAGAAAGCTCCTGAGTCTTCCCCCAAGGAATTCTACCAGTTAGGGCTGAGTTCCACAGACTGGTCCTTCCCCACCTTTGCACAACAGCAGGACAGAGGAGGATGGGAAGGGAAAGGAGGTGACCACTTTACTGAGTATCTAGGATCTATTAGACATGGTCTTGGCTCTTCAGCCTACAGGGCCACCAAATGCTATAACAGAATCTATATGCAAATCCCCATGAATAAAGGATTGATGGGTCAGCTGACTGGATCTGATTTTCATCGATTGATTATGGGTAGGCTGGTAGTTAGGAGAGTACACGCGTGACCTTGGATCAGAAAACAGATCTACTGGGTGGCAGCCTTTTGTAGAAACCTTAACCCTGATGTCACTCAGAGTTCTTGGCTACCAATGCAGGGTCCTTCCCGGTGACCCCAGGTGCTGCAGGAGGTCTCACAGACCTGAGAAAGGAGCCACAGGTGGGCCCGCTGTGCAGTTGTCTGAACGGGGTGGCAGGAGGTCAGTGTGCAGGGGTAGGAAAGACAAATGGGAGAGAGGGAGGAAGGGGGAGGATGAAGAGCGAGACCCAGGGGTGGAAGCATGAGGCGAGAAGGGGGAGCTTTCCACAAGGAAAGAAGTAAGGAAAGGCAAATGGAGGGCTCTGCGGGGCAGCACTCACTGCGGATCTCGGCCGTGGCGTACTTGGGGATCATGGAATCCGTGGTGAGCTCTGGGTGCAGGATGCAGCCGTGTGTGTAGGCGTCCATGGGCAGTGCATCCAGCAGCTCCCGGTACTGCAGCACTCGGGCGTGTTGTGGGCTGCCTGCCTCAGGCATCAAGGCCACCACATGCTCTGTGGATACCAGCAAGGACTAGAGCAGGGTCCATGCCCTACCCGTAGGAACCCAGAGCCCCAAATGCCATGCCCAGAAATCCCAGACCTATCCCCTCTGGGACTCAGCTACTGGTGATTAGGATTCCTGTTGACCCAGTAGCATCTCTGGGTTTCACTAAGCTCAGGGCCCCACCTCTCAGTGCCAAACAGTGGCCAGGTGGGGCTAAGTGCCCAGTGCTGTCTGTTCTATGGGCTGAAAAGCTCCATACTTAGAACTTAAGCCTCCTTGACTTGGAAAATAATTATTCATATCCAGGCTTCTTTTTTGAGATGGAATCTCAATCAGTATGCATCCCAGTCAATTCTCAAACTGGAGATTCTCCTGTCTCAGCCTCCCAAGTACTGGGAGTACTGGGCATAAACATGTATCACCATGCTCAGAAAATTTATATTCTTTGAAAGAAAGAAAAAAAAGTTGTTTTGAAGTAGGTGTCATGGCACATACCTTTAATCCCAGCACCTGGGAGGCAGAGTCAGGGGATTTCTGTCAGTCCTAGGCCAGCCTGGTCTGCATAGTGAGTTCTAGACCAGATAGAGCCTAGAGTTCTAGGCCAGATATAGTGAGACCCTATCTCAAAGAAAAAACGTTGTTTTGAGTTGAGATAGATCTCATGTAGTCCAGCGTGGCCTCAAACTGGGCTATGTAACTGAGCCTGGCCTTGAACTCCGGATCCTACAGCTTTTACCTTCACCTCCTAAGTGCTGAAATTACAGACATGTGCTACCATGTTGTAATTGCACATTTTTGTTCTTAAAATTAGTACAAGCTCAGGCTCTGGGTCCATTGTCCCAGCTGACTGAACCTCTGCCACAGGCAGCAAGCACCTGAGCCTTAGAGGCCAAAGGGAGGGAGGACAGAAGTTCTGGGGTGTCTTGTGTGTATCTTAGGGTTCCAAGTTGCCTGATAGCATGCCAGTGGGGTTCCTGGGAGTCTGGGCCTGACTTTGCTTAGAAGGTTGTAGGGTACTGGGCCCTGGGAAATTTGATCCTGTCTATGGGAGCCTGAGGAAATCCAGAGGGCCAGGGCTGAACCTGAATCTGCAAGAGATCCCCGGGGAAAGAAGGGGGCTGAACCTCAACTGACCTGGGTTATTTAGGCCGTGCCCTTCCCTGGTTCTGAGGGATGTAAACCCTGACTGTTGCCTGTGACTTACTTTTTTAGGAGAACACCGAGTCCTGCCCATGACTCAGTGGCTTGCTTAGGTTCAAAGGTGATGTCTGAACCTGTGGGACCCCTGCTGCACACCCTGTCCACACATATGGGGCGTAGCATACCTCCAGTGAAGGTGCGCTCCACGTAGTCGATGATCTGGTCGTAGTCGCTGATAATGTTGTCTCGGTGGACAATGACGGGCACCTCTTCACCCAGGTTGAGCCGCATGAACCAGGGCTCCTTGTGCTCGCTCTGTGGCAGGCTCACATCCCTCTCCTCGCAGACCAGGCCCTTCTCTGCGATCACCAGCCGCACCTGCAGGCGCCAGGGTCAGAGCGGGGGGAAGGCGGGTGGACACAGGGGACACTCTGCCCGGGTGGGGGAGGCGTGCAGGAAAGGAGGTCAGAGGTCACACACAAGAGGGGACACTTGCTTGCAGCCCATTCTTGGGCACTTGGGTAGGGGGCTATGGTTCAGGGTCACATGCTTGGGGTGTGGAGAGCAATGCAGCCCTAGGCTGAGACACAGGGCAGTGCTGCCTGGTGGCCATGGGGCTAACGTTCCAGCTGTGCAGATGCAGGCAAATTGCCTCAACCCTCAGGGCCAAATGAAAGTATTAATAGTTTCAAGTGTGTGTCTAGCACACAGATGGCGCTCAGTTCATGTTTATTGTTACCATCACACAGACGTTCAGGGGTAGATCTGGCCAGGAAATTTACAGAAACCCCAAGTGTCATTATAACCAAGAGCTAAATGTCTCCGATGACTTGGGGAACAAAGTGAGGTAGAAGGTAGTGTGCCCGCATCTACACAGCCCTGCATCGCTCCAAACACTGCCCCATCTCGATCGCCTGGTTGGATGCTGGCAACAGCAACCAGAGGACAGCAGAGCAGGGGGCAGCTAAAGTCAAGAATGGGTGGGTGTCGTGCCCCATGTCACATACCGCTTAGCAGCCAGCTTAGAACTGGAAGCAATGGCTCTAGACCAGGGCCCTCTTCCTTGGGGGTTTCCTCTAGGGGCTTGCTGGGACTAGCCTCTCCTGAATCTTCCCTTATGTCTCTAGGAAGCCTATGTGGCTGGGCACACCCCTGACCCAGGCTGTGTCTGGGAATTGGAAGATGCCTAAAGCTCTTGTATCCCAGCTGCCCTCACATGTGGGTGAGACTCAGGAAGGAGATGGTCTTGTCCTAGATCACTGGGAAGGGAAAAGTGGCAACCCACTCCTACACTGCCCTCCCATCTTTTGGCTCAAGTCCAGGGCCAGGAGGCTACCACTGAAAGAGGCAGAGGTCATTCTTGAGCATTCATGTCCACCCACACCGGAGATGACAAGTCCTGGGCTGAGCACCCTCAACCCTCTGAGATACCAGGTATCATAAGAAGGGCCTAGGGTCAGAATCACAGGCTCGCTGTGTCAGTTCCAACCCAGGTGGCTTTAAAAGTCCCCTTGCTTCTGGGAGCCTCCTGCTGTAGGGAGTCCTCCTGTGTTCCCTCAGAGGACTGTGGGAGGAGTAAAAATCTCCATCCCTGTATGTTGTTCTAGTACACTGTAGGGGTAACGTGTCTTAGCTGCTTGGATTAGACCAGATATTCTGGTTAGTGTTTGTCAACTTGACACAAATTGGAGTCATTTGGGAAGAGAGAGACGCTCAATGGAGAACACAAGACCATGCTTCTGTAAGACCCAGCTGTAGGCAAGTCCGTAGTGTATTTTCTTGGTTAATGACTCATGTGGGAGGGCCCAGATCACCAGGGGCAGTCATATCCCTGGGCAGGTGGACCTGGATAGTATAAGAAAGCAGGCTGAGGAAGCTGGAGGGGGGGCAAGCCAGGAAGCAGCGCTCCTCCATGGCCTCTTTTTCAGTCCATGCCTCCATCCAGGTCCCTGCCTTGCATTCATGCCCTGGCTCCCTCCAGTGATGGACTTTTTGTTACCTGAGAGCTGTAAGCTGAAATAAACCCTTTCCTCCTAGAGTTGCTTTTGGTCAGTTTTGTTTTTATTATAGCAATAGAAAACTAAGGCACCAGGTTTGGGAGACAGAGAGACTTGGAATTGAAGCCCCGCCTGACTAGATGTTTGCTGTGTGATCTGATAAGTCACTTAACCACTATGATCTCTGTGTATCTGTGGCTGTCCTGGAACTTGTTTATAGACAAGGCTGGCCTTGAACTCATGGAGATCTGAATGCCTTTGCCTCCTTAGTGCTAGGATTAAAGGCATATGCCACCACCACCCAGCTGAACACTCTGATCTCTGATAAGGTACAGCTTATTTCTGTAAGGTGTGGTCAGACTCCCAGCACAGTCAATCCATGGTCCTAACAAGAACACACACACACACACACACACACACACACACACACACACACCACTGCACTTCCACTTGGTGTCCTGGGGCCCTTTATGGCACACACTCACAGCTAAAGTGGACATCCTTCCTTCTCTGTGGTGGCTGTGCAGAGAGAGGTAATTCACCCTTGACTTCCAACACTCACAGCCTCATTTGCTTTGTTGGCTCAAAGCTAGTTCTATAAGGGGTGGCCACCATATAGAACTGGGCTAGACACAGGGACCCAGTTCATACTCCTGGTTCTGCTGTGTGGCCTCAGCTGTCACTGACCCCTTGTAGTCCCCCTTTCTCCCCTTCTTTCCCTCCCTCCACCACCTCCCTCTGGGGTAGTGGGAGGGCTCTGCCAGGCTCTGCCACCAGGAACCGGTGCAGATGGAACAGCTTGGGGCAGCATCTGTTTGCTCTGGGTATGTGAGTGGGCAACTGTGTGTGTATGTGTACAGTGTGCTTGTGTGAGTGTAAAGGCAGTGCGTGTACTCAGCCTGGTAGAGTGTGTGGAAAGACCAGACAGGCCTTTGCCCTTGCCCTTGCCCTTCTATCCTGTCAGGGCGCCTTTCCTAAGAAGCTACACCCTGGGCTGTGCCCTGAGGCTCCCTTGAGGGAATCAGGTATGGGCTTTTGCCTCAGGAAGGACTATCTTTAGAGACACAGCAGCCCTGCCTGGAGCTGCCTCAGGTCACCCTGGCAGATAGCCGAGGAGACTTTCACCTTTAGTGGAGCTGAAGGCCAGAGCCGTGTGCCATCCTGCAGGGGAGGGAACCCAGGCTCAAGGGAAGGGCACACGGCCACCACAGCCATCTGCCACTCAGTCTCCTGGAGACTTGGCTAGTCCCAGGGGGTCACCACTCTGTGTGACCATCTCTGGGGAATCTATCTCCTTTGTGGGTACCTGGAAAGTGTTTCTGGGTGCTTCATTGGGGGTGGTTCACAGAGGGGTGGACATGATGATTTGGGTTGGCTTTTCTACCCAGTAATATAGTTGCTGTGTGACTTTGTAAAAGGCACTCAGAGTCTCTGAGCCTTATTTATTCTCCCCCCTCTCTTTAATACTATGTGTAAACAGTTGCTGGTTTAAAGAAGCAAATACTTATTTTGAGACTAGGTCTCTAGCCCAGGCTGACCTCTACCTCCCTAGATAGCCAAGAATGACCTTGAACTTCCACCCTCAGGCCTTTGTCTCTCCAGTACTTGGGTTACCGGTGTGCCCATAGCTTATAAATGCATCATTTTCCAGTACTGTTCATCGAGCACCTACAGGCACAGTGCTGGAGGCCCTGCAGTGAACATAACCTGCAGGACAGGTGAAGGGAAGATGTTAGGCAACAGCTTCAGAGAGGGTGGTGTGTCAGGCAGGCCTGTGAGCATCCTACAGGGTAATGGAGGGATCCACGTGAGGGCCCCTGGGCAAGGGAGCTCCAGAGGGAGAAGAAGAGTACCCATTGCAGAGGACTAAGAAGGACCACAGGGACAGTCTGAAGCAACAGGATAGGTGGGTGAGGACCAGGAATGGAGTACAGGTGGGATTCTGTACTGGAGGTTCAAGAGGACTCCCAGACTCAAGCAGGGGGACATGTGCGAATAAATACATGGAGTCCTTGAGAGAGGACAGGAATGACGTTCGCTTTTCAGTGACAGAAACTACCTAGCTGCTAGCCTCTCTTCAAGGATGTAGGCAATAAAGTCTGGTGTGGGCATGGCTTCACAGTTGTAGTTACTCAAAATGTGTATATACTCAGTGGGACTTGAACACGACCTGCCGCCCAATCATGTTAGATGGTGGGCTAGTGCAGAAAGACAAGTCATTACATAAAAGAGTGGTATTAAAAGTATTTCCACAGCTGACTTTGAAAATGACTGGCCCCCTTTCTGCTCTAATAACCCTATTGTGGCACATTATTTAACTGAATGCAATATGCTGAGAAACATCCGTAGGCTTTCTGTAACTTTATCCTGACTCCCAACCAGGTTAGGACGCGGGGTCATTGTGAGGACTCTGGGTCTCAGTTGGAGGGAGTAGGGAGCTACTGTGGGTACCTGAGCAGGAGTGTGCTGAACTTGCAGCAGGCGGGTTGGTAGGAAACGCCCAGGAGTTTGGAAGGCAAAGTAGTTAATTGCTGTTCCAGTTCCTGCATGGTGTCAGGACTGGCCCCCGGCAGGACCCAGACCTAAGACTTTTAACCCTGGGAACTGAAGGCCATGATACGGGCTTCTTATATGTGCAGCCAGGACAATGGCAGGGTCCATGAGGATGGGGCGGAGGAGAATTAAATCAGATATGTTGGGGGAGGGAGCAGGATGGCCTGAGAGTCACTCTCATAGAAATAGGAAAATCGTCACCGGGTCACAGCTCTCTTATATCCTTCTGCTGTGCCAGGTGCTGTACTAACAGCCTTATGTTAACTGAACGACATGCTCTCCGCAGGTACTCAGGGATGTGGCACCAGTTAGTACCCATGAGATGACTTACCCCAGCACTGTCAATACCCAAACTTTATAAGAGGAAACAAACCCAGAGACTGTGAGTGACCTGGCAAAGCTACTCAGTAGCAAGAACCTTAGTTTAAAAAAAAAAAGGGGGGGGCAGGTATAAGGAGTGTGTGTGTGTGTGTGTGTGTGTGTGTGTGTGTGTGTGTGTGTGGAAAGCAGACGCCACTGCGAAGGGAAATTGAGGCGGGAAATGCTATTCTTTCTGAATGGGGAAGGAGGGATCCTGGCAGGTTGTAGCTTATGTTTTTCCCATTGAGGAAATTGAGGACCAGAAAGGAGCAAGGACATTTCCAGTTTGTGGAATTGTGGTCCTCCAGATTTTTGCCCCTCTCAGCCCTGCTCCTGTCCTGAGAGGCAGAGGAAGCTGGAGAAGGAACATCCCGAGGAGCCCTGCTCACATTCTCTGTCTGCAGTCACAGCCTCTCCCGAACCCCATGGCCTCCAACTGTCATTCATGACAGTGCCTGAACATTTCCTGCCGGTGTGCAGCTGTGTGTGTGATCATGCATAACATCTTTCAGTCCTCACACTCTCAAACGGAGGTGCTATTGTTGCCCATAAAAGACCAAACATAGTGAGACCTAGAGAGGTTATGATACCCACAGGGCCATGTGGCTGCGAGGGACAATGACCTCAAATCTGGCTCATGACACAACTGGTGTCTTCATGGCTGTCAAGGATGACAGAATCCTTGTCACATGGTTTCTGGGTGGTTTCCAGTAGTCCATGCACTGCCTCCTTTCAATGACCTTTACCCCCAGTTTATCAGATGCATAACTAAGAAATTAGAGTCCAAGTAATGTATACACATTATCCTGTTGGTCAGGGGCAGCCCGGCTGTCTGGGCCCAGTCTATGCTTTGGGCTCCTGCATGGTCTTGCTGCCCTTGGGATCTGCTGAAGTCCCTAGTGCTCCCAGGGGTTGCCACCATTCTCTGAAGTAGGCCATTTCTGCCAGCATCGGCTCAGTACCACCAAGAATGGGTTTCCCAGAGGCACTTGTGGGAAGAGTCTGCTGCAAGTATGGCCTCAGGGCCAAAGGGATGATGGAGTGCACCTGCTGAGTTCCTACTGCATGCCAGGCTTTCAGTGTATGCCTGTGTTCTGGAAATCCCCCAGGCAATCTCCAGGGGCTAGAGAGAAGGTCCTATTTTCAGGCAACAACATTGCATCACAGCCAGGTGAAATGACTTGCCCAGAGTCACTCAGTGGTAAGCGGCCAAGAGATGAGCCAGCCATATGATTGCCAAGCCCATCCTCTTCCTGTGTGCCCTGGTGGGGGAAGCAGGAGAATATGCCTGCACTAGCTTGAAAGACACATAGCCTAAAGGAATGCGCAGTCCCTTCCCCAACTCCAACCACCTATGCCCTGTGCTTAGGCCGAATAGGAGTCTTCCCTGACAGAAGAGCAGGAGATCCTCTCAAGGGACAGAAGAGGGATGTCTCTTTCTGCCCCACATTGTGTCCCAGTCACTGAGGCCTGCTTCCTGAGGGTCTAGCTTGGGGAGGTTCTGAGATCTGGAGGTCAGTCTGACCCATCTTCAAATCTCTAGTGCCCACTATAACCCAGGACACACTCAGCAAGAAAGTAGGTGCTTGGTAAGCATATGTGAAATGCATGGACAGGTCTCAGATTGACCTTGGCTACCTTCGACTTCTCATTATCTAGCAATTTTTTTTTTCCCCTTGATGCTGAGACCTGAGCCTGGAGCCTCATGCCTGCTAAGCACAAGCTCTGCCACTGAGCTGGTCCCCATCTCAATTCCTAACACTTTAACAAATCCTCACAGCCTTATCAGCAGATCCTCCATCCTTCCCCAGACACCAACATCAACACTTTGTGGCAAGCTCATTTCGTCTTCACAGTAGCCCTTTGCAGAAGCGACAGATCAGTTTGGAGAGGCAAATGGGCATCCAAAGCTCCATGGTGGATCAGAGAAAAAGATGACTCTCTCACTGGGCTCTACCTGGCCTCAGACTCAAGGACTCTAAACTGGATGGCCAAACAGTAGTCTTCTCAGCATCACCTATGTGGGCCTGCCTCTGGACTACCCGAGCCATCTGGGGCAGAATCCAGCATGCTGTGTCTTAGCCAGGATCATGAAGTGATTTCTAGGCTCAGTGGGGTGTGAGTAGAGCCAGCCTGTACACTGTTGTGTCACCCCTTAAACAGCCCTTCCAGCAACTCAACTGGGGGGATTGAAGTTCCTGGTGGCTATTGTTACCACTATCACTATTCCATTTTCCAGGTTATAAAACTGAGTCCGGGCCGAAACACAAATCCAAGTCCGGTTTCTAAAGCACTTATCTTCAGCAACCCCCAACCCCAGGTGTAAAATAAATGTGTGGAATGAGGGGAGGAGGAGCTGAGTAGTCAGGGTACAGCTCTGCTTTGGCCCTAGCTGGACCCAGCTCTGGGCTCTGGCCATGGTGCTGAACCCACAACACTGCTACCCAGGATGAGAGACTGAGAGTCCCTTAGTGCAGGGTATTGGGGAGCAGTATCTGGTCTCACTCCCACAAAGCGGGAAACCCAGTGATAGCACTAGGGTGTACTTTCAGCTGTTCCCACCCCAGAAAGTCGGGAAAAGGTCTAAGAGGACAGAACCAGTCTGTGCCTTTAAGAGCAAAACACTGATCTGATGGGCAAGCCCGCTGCTCTGAGGGGATAGATTAACTCCTTCCTTCTCAGCTCAAGAGAAAAGGGTGACAGCTGGGGACAGACTTTCCAAGCCCCAGACTGAAGAAGACCCTCGCCAGAACCGAGGGCCTGGGAGCTCACGGCGTTTGGGACAGCGGGTGGGAGGGAAGGCTGGCCCAAAGTGGGGCTTCCTCTGTTCAGCCCCATCAGGCCGCTAGCCGGCAGGGCCGGTCTGTCCCCGGCCTTTGTCTCTGCTCAGGTGTCCCCGAGAGGGAACGAGGCCTAAGGAAATGCTCCTGGAATCGGGGTGGGGATCTGCGGTGCCACCTGCCCATCGCGACGGTCCCCTCCTAGCCTCCTGTCCGCACCCTGCGCCCCCTCTACCTTCTGCGAACTGAAGGACTGGGTCCAGTGGTATAGAACCAGGCTCTCCTTGGGCCAATGGGCGGGGCTGGCTGCCTCGGGCGCGTCGGGGGTCTCCACCGGCTTGGCTGCATCGCTTTCCAGCGCCGAGATGGGCCACCAGCTGCAGTTGGTGGGGGTCAGGTTGTTGGGGGTCGCCATGACAGCCCGCGATCGGAGGAGGAAGGAGGCGGCTCGGCGGCGGCGGCTCGCTGGCGCCCAGCATCACATGGCCTCTTCGAGCCTGCCCCTCTCCCTCCTCCCCCTCCCCGCGATGTCATTACTCACTGGGCGCAGGGGGAGGGGCAAGGGGATCCCGGGGCTCGTTCCTCCACCTCCCAGCTGTGGGTCCTCCCTGAGGGCCCCAGGGAGGGAAGGTTGCGGGAAACCTGAGCAAGAGGGCCGCGCCTCCCCAGAGCACTCACAGCGGGCCAGTCAACTGCCAGAGACTCCACCATCATAACGCATTTGTGTCTCTCAATCTTGCGAAAGCACCTCTTAGTTTAGATAAATTGCAGTATAGCGGTCTATTTAACCCTTTTCACGAGTAATGTCTGGAGATAGCTCTATTTGAACCAGCCATTCCCTGACTTTCCACCTCCTAAAGGGCTTCCAACAACAAAAGGGAATGAACTACGATTTATCAACCACATGGGCGCGTACTCTCTACCCAGGCACCACACTAAGGGTTTTACGGCTGTCTACCCCTTTGGCCTGTTTTACTGAGGAAGACAGGAAGGCTCTGAGAAGTGACCTTGCTCAAGGTGACTGAGCTGCTAACTGGTGGACCTGAGATTCAAACTGAAGGCTGGCTGTATGCAGGACAGGACCAGCTGGTGAGTTAGTGACGCTGCAAGCAGCAACACAAGCTGGTTAAAAGAATCATGTCTCATCTATGTGGACATGACTTTCCCAGATGAGAAGGAAGAGCTGCCATTAATGAAATCATGGGTCATACCTTTACCCCAGGAGATGCAGCTAGGGAAGAGTCTGAAGACTGCCCCTATACCTCTTCTGTAGGTACCTTGAATGTTCTTTGGAACTTTGTGTAAAGTTCCTTAGCGCACCATGAATTTTATCTTTTTTCTTTCTTTTTTAGATTCATTTATTTTTATGCGTATGGGTATTTTTTGGTCTGTATGTGTATGTCTGTGTGTGTATGCATGCCCGATACCCTTAGATGCCAGAAGAGGGTGTCAGATCCCCCTGGAACTGGAGTTACAGATAGTTATGAGCCACCACATGGATTTGAACACCAGTCCTCTGGAAGAACAGCCAGTGCTCTTAACTGCTGAGCTAATCATTTCTTCAGTCCCAGAAGGATATGTCTTAATGTCTTAATTTGCCTTTGAGAAATGGACCCTAAGACAGTCGATGATAATTCAGTTGCTGGCCCCTTAGGGAGGGGGAGAAATTTTGAGGAATATATCCTTAGCAATGCCTGCAAATGCTGGTCACAGAGTGAACTTATGTAAACCAGTTTTACTGAGAACCACTGTCCCTTGTGAGTTGATGTAACTGGGCAGTAGGCCTCTCAGTTTGCTACTTGGGACTTCTGGGTACATCACCTCACAGACTATAAGTGGGATTCTTCCTTCTACTAGGCAAGCAAACTTCTGCAGCTTCCTTCTCTTTATGCCATGGTTGCCAGGAAGCTTGGCGCTGCATTTACTAAGTCTTGTTACATTAGCCTCCCTGTCCAGGAAATTCTTTGCCATGTTCTATGATTTTCCCCCACCTTTCTCTTTGGAGTGTCTTGTTTTCAGTTTGATTTTGCAAAGGCAAATGTAGTAGTCAGAGTTCTCATGAGGGACAGAAGTGACAGAATGAGTGTATATCTCAAAGGAGGTTTCCTGAGATTGCTTTACATAGTCAGGCTGAGTAGTCTAGTATTCTGTGCATGCTGGAAAGCCTGGGAATCCAGACACTGCTTAGTAGGTAAGGTTGTGTATTTTGGCAGCTCTGACTTGGTGCTGAAGGCCTGAAGGGCTCCTGGAGAGCCATTGGTCTTTGTGTTAGAAGGCCAAAGAAGCTGAATTCTAACACCAGTGAAGGGTGTCAGTGGTGGCAGCAGCAGCAGCAGAGTAGATGCACTCTCCAGTAGGGCTCAAAGGCAGGCAGGCAGGCAAAAAGAAGCACTTTGTTTCATTTATATATCTTTATACTGGGCCACCAACAGAATGGTCCATGGTAGGGGAGGGGGCAGTCTCTCTCCTTCAGTTATTCCTTCAAGGAAATATCCTCAGTACTAGTCAAGATTACTGTTGCTATGATGAAACACCATGACTAAAAGTAACTTGGGGAAGAAAAGGTTTATTTAGAGTACATATCCTGATGTACAGTCCACCAAGGGAGGCCAAGACAGGAATTCAAACCAGGTAGGAGCTAATGCAGAGACTATAGAGGAGGGCTGCTTAATGGTTTTCACCCCATAAATTGCTCAGTTTGCTTTCCTATAAAACCCACAATAGGCTGGATCTTCCCATTAATTAAGAAAATTCCCTACAGCCCTATCTTATCAAAGTGTTTTCTCAGTTGAAGTTTCCCTTCCTCTGAGATGACTATAGTTGTGTCAACTTGACATAAAGCTAGCCACGTCCTTCTTAGTTGATCCCAGACTCAATCAAACTGACAATCAAAATTGGTCAAAAATTTTGTGATTTTAAGGAAATATAATCCTAGCTTTTGGAAAAGGTGGAACATCTGCCTCCACATAATGAATCTACTGTATCCAGAGAACCTGAAGCACAGCAATCATGTTCAAATGTGTCCAGACCCTCAGCTAATGAGTGGTCCGTGTGTATCTGGAGCCTCATTAGGCCCCAGAGACTCAGTGGCAGCAGATCCTGGCTTGCCTTTGATTCATTCTCTTAGCATTTCATCTAGTGCCCCAGCAGCACAGAGCATCTAGCTCACACTTAACAGCACTCTCTATATATGGACAGACCACAACATTGTATTTTGCAACCCCTGCTGATGGATGTATGTGCTGCTCCAAGTCCTTCGTTCTAAAAAATGAAATCTTAGAGTCTTCCTCATGTGGATGTAGAATCACAGCATCACCTACATGATAAGGTCCAGAAACAGCTTTGTTAGATCAAAGAATACACCTTTATCAAAGCTCACAAGTGCTTATTCCCACTCATGACCTACCAGGGTGGGTATCCTCCTGCATCCTGGACACACAGCAGACTTATGTGAGTTCCATTGCATCCTGAGCCCTGCTATTGGACCAGGTTCTATGAGTGAATGTAACTAGGAGTGTTCACTGCTCAGTTTGCTCCTAGGGACCCCTCTCTTTCTATAGGAATCCATATGTAAAAGATGAAACCATACTTTAAGCATTTTGCTTTGCTCGTTTTGTTTTCACTTTTCAAACATAAAAATGAAAAAGGGCAAATGAAGGAAGGAAGGAAGAAAGGAAATAGCTCAGTGGACATTTGTACATCCATCACTAGACATGATTGTCTTTAAAACCTTGTTCCTCTGCCACTCTTGTATAAGTAAGAGCAGGAATACTTGGAGTAATAATACAGTATTTCTCAAATGAACTACTTCAGTGTGAGAGATTGTGGTGGTCTGAATGTAACTGGACCCTGGATCTCACAGGGAATGGCACCATTAGGAGGTGTGGACTTCTTGGAGGAAGTGTGTCACTGTGGGGGTGGGCTTTGGGGTTTCCTATGCTCAGGACACCACCCAGTGTTTCAGTCAAATTCCTGATGCCTGCAAGATGTAGAACTCTCAGCTACTCCTCCAGGACCATGTCTGCCGGCACCCCGCCATGCTCCTCATCATGATAATGGACTGGACCTCTGAAACTGTGAGCTACCACCTCAATGAAATGTTTCCTTATAAGAGTTGCCTTGGCAGCAGGGTGATGGTGGCACACTACTTTAACCCCAACACTTGGTAGGCAGAGGCAGTGGATCTCTGTGAGTTCAAGGCCAGCCTCGTGTACAAAGTGAGTTTCAGGACATCCAGGGCTGTTACACATAGAAACCCTGCCTCAAACAAAACAAAACAAAAAGCATCTCTTCACATCAATAAAATTGCTAAGACAGGAGCTGGTATGCTTTAAGCACTGCTTAAGGGGGCTTACTAGTGGGAACATGGATCATAATGGTGCTGATAATGGCTTGAAATGTTGGGAGCTGGCTCAAGAGATTTCAGAGGAGACGAATTTTAGTGAGTTGCCTAGAAATTGTTCTTGTGATATTTTGGTGAAAAAAAGTGGCTACTTTTTGCCCTTGTCTGAAAAGTTTGGCTGAGGCTAAAGTGAAGAATTTTGGATTAATTCCCTTGGCAGAGGAAATCTGTAAACAGCATAGTATAGATCAATATCTGAGTTTGAGGCCATGTTGGTCTACAGAGCAAGTTCCAGGACAGCCAAGCTTGGGCAGTGAAAGACAGCAAGCTGGTGAAGATGTGATTGAGAAGGGACCATGTTCTAGCCTCAGCAAGTTGCAGGACTTGGCAGCTTTGGCCATGTGGTTCTGGGTTTAGAGTTAAGGACAAAAGAAAGGAGTTATGGAATAAAGCCACTGATGCTGGGCATGTATTGAGGTGTCCCTGAATGGAGGCCCAGAGAGCCCATTACATGAAATGGTGAAATTGAAGCCTGGATTACCTCGGAGACCCCAGGATGTTAGAGATGCCAGAGCTGTGGGATACCTGCTGAGGAGAGCTGCTAACAGGGAGTGGAGCCAGCCCAGGAGAAAGAAGTGTGCTGCAGTCGACAACCCTGAAAGTAATAGGCGCTCTGAAGGGTGCTTTGACATCAGACATGGAGATGCAGGGTTTGGAGTTTGCCCAGCTGGTTTTCAGTCTTGCTTTGGTTCAGTATTTCCTCACTGTGCTCTCTTTCCCTATGATTTGGAGATAAACAATAAAACAATCTCAAACCATGGAAGAAAAAGCTCAAATGACAAAAAAGTGGGTCAAGCCAAACACTGCACCAGGATGGTTCATTATGTTCACAGTAAATCGATGCCATGCTTTCTTAAATCTTTATGTGTCTGGATGTTTTGCCTGCATGTATGTCTTACACCATTTATGGGCCTGGTGGCCACAAGAAGATGTCAGTCCCAGTTCCCTGGGAACTAGAGTTCCACTTTTTAATCTCATTACAGTTACAATGTCTTACTGTCCCACTGTAGAGGCCAGGTGTGGTGACGGTGGTGCCATCTATCTATGCTAAGTCCATTATGCCTTCTCCTATGGAACCCAAATTCTTTGCTGACAGCCTTGACAAATCATTATCCGAGGCTAGAAAATGATTTGCTAGTTTAGCCTTTTCGTCTACCTTTATCAGCTGGCTTTGCTTGCTCGAGTGTCATTAA